CCTTAAATATTGGCATCTGTGCACAAAGTGGGGATTGCATGGTCCAGCTGCTCCTTGGATCCTACTTTATGAATGAGCACATCTTTCTTCTATATACGTGTATGGCAATGGAGAGAAACGGAGCAACCCGAGCATACTGCTGATAGGTGTTTGAAATAACCATATAGCTCGCTGATATATGAGAGTGGTATGGTACAGTGACAACTCACTGTAGGAAAGCCAAATTAATATATAACCAAGTAGCAGTGGAAGAACCATTGGGAAATTGAGGTAGTGACTGACCCTAGTATAGCCACCGTTTTGTTCATCACAGATTGGGGATTGCTGAGGTGTTTAGGAGTCATTAATTTTTTGTCAGGCAGCAGCCAGGGACACTCCTCAGGCTGATACTGTCCTTCATAATGGTCTTAACAGTAGGATGGTAGAGAGTTTGGCGCTTGATGCGTCCTTCAATTATATATTCCAAGCATAACATGATATCTAAAGTTTCGTGGGTTTTTTTTAATTCATGGTGCTCACCTCTGATGACATATTTGAGGTTGTGATAAATATTAGCATCTGAAATCGAGGGCTTTGAGTTCTTCTTTGACTTGGAAATTAGGTCTTGTAAGGCTTTGCAAGTGCATTATGCTCTACGCTATTAGGCAAGGAAGGATGACCAGAAGAGCTTCTTTGTAAAACCCAAACTTCTGCTAACCAATAGCTAATAGAATACTTTTTAAAAACCAACTACGGACTTAAAAATTTGAACATGACTCAACATATTATAATTGTAAGTTATCTATGCTTAGCTTGTCTTTCGCTTCAAGTGTAAAGGAAAAGTAAAAAAAAAACATTCAATAAAGAGAAAGAATACTGTTCCTAAATTCCAAACCTTTTAATTGAGGGAAAATGGTTAGAGACAAGCAGAAATTAATAGACTGGAAGAAAATATACATATGTAGCAGTCTTCCATATCTAATGAAATTCTGGAAAATAAGATGGCTATTGTATTACAGAATATGGCTCAATGTGCAATTTTTCTATGAATCATTCTGTATTGATCTAGCTGTTGAATTTTTGAGTATTTTCAGTATATAGCTGTTCTGGGTAAGTTTCATATATCACATTTCAAGTCTAATTATGGGGAAACAGTTGTCTAATGGATTCAGCTGCATCCAATGTAAGAGAGGCAGATGACATTCAGTAATTTTGACATTATAAAAATAAGGTACAAAATGGTATTGCAGAGTACTTCAAATTGCATGAAAGACGGTCTGAAAGCTGTCCAAAAATTTGTTCCAGGAAGTCATTGAGCTTGTAAAAATAGCCTTAACTTTTCTAGGGTATACTTTGAAGCTGCAAACATTGGTCAGCCTGAGACTAGTAAGGGAAAACACAGATCTTGTTTGATTTTTCAGTCTAGCTAGTAATGTCAATGTCTGGGGAAAGATGGCAGATCCTAATTTAAGACACATGGGCATTGTCTGTCTACGGTTCTTGTGACCAGCATCTAATTTCTTTCAGTTCGGGCAATCCCCATCATAAAGTTTAGTCTTCGTGTATTTACTCAGTCTTCAAATCCACTTTTATGCTGTTCCATAAGCCTGGAATTTTCTCTTGCCCACAGCATCCATGCTTCCTTCCCCATTTCTTTTAAAACCCTTCTTGTGGCCACTTCTTCAAAGAGCTGCATGGATATTAATAGCATTACATTATCTTTTAACCTTCCTGTGCTCTCAGGAAAACATTTTTTTTTTCCCCTCCATCTACTCAGTTTTCTTTCTATTTTCATTATGTCTGAAGAAGGAAACATTAACCAGTGAAATGTCACACTTTCCTTAAGTGTCAAAAACTGTAAACCTGAGGCTATCTGTAGTACCAGCAAGTGTGGACAATCTCTTGAGCCTGTGATGTTTAATAAATCTGTGGCATGACAAAGCTGTGTGAGAAGTCATATCTCCATGAGAACATACGGTGAGATGTGGACACACACATACAGACACATAAATCTATTCAATTTAAAACTGCAGTCTCTCTCTGAAGTTATGCTTTCTTTCCTCTGACCCAGTTTTTCATTATGTTTTTTCTTAATTAGAATTGCCAGGTATGAAAAAAAGGTGAATTTAGAAAGATAAATAGAAGCAGAAATTGAACAAAGCTATTTAGCACCAAATGAAGACACACAGGCCGTGTGGTTGTTGTTCAGCAGTGTAAAGTAGAGGTTCCCTACCCTCCCACTGTAACACACATTTATAGTGATCAGTCTATCCTTTTGAAAATGATGGGCTTAAAATCCTGGGATCAGATGCACATTGGCAAATCACTGGTCTGACACTAAGCTCTTTCTGGAGTTAGGGGGACACCCTTGGAGGTGCAGATCTTCACCAGTACTGATCTTAATTGCAGAGTGGGAGGTAAGACACTGATTGGCATAAGACATGATAGCAGAAAGAATTTGAGCTTTTAGGGGAGGAAAAAAGACTATAATCCAGAAGACTGAGTCAGAATATCACAGGGTAGCATAAACCTAGTTTTGATAATACTAATCCCTTTCTGGAACATCAAAGTCAATGAGTCCCCAAATGATGCAGTTCAGAGAACCAAACAAAGGAACCAGAAAATGGCTTTGTTTCAGTTAATTTCAGTTTCAAATAAATGTAACATTTTATTAGCTTACTAACATCAGAAAATAAGCAGGCTCTTGGATGCATGGAAATACATGCACACCATAGCTAAATGACTTAATTTGAACTTCCATACCTCAGTTTGAAGAAGCAGCAAACATTTATTTGTAGTCTTCTGTTTTGATATGTTAATCTGTTGTTCAACAGCGTTTGTGTGCACAGCTGCACAATAGCTTAGTGGGGATTCAGTGTAAGTTTAGAAATGTTCCTGCAGACACAATTTAAAATAATGCAAGTAGGTAAGCTGTAGTTGGGTATAGATACATAGCTATAGATATATAATAGGTCTATAGATCTAGAGACATAGATGCATAGATTTAGATACATAGATCTATATAGCAGTTATGCTTGTATATACATATATACGTACACAGAGCAAGGAGGGGAGAGAGAGAATGGGCACAAACTGAGATGTGGCAGGGACATCTGAACATCAGGAAATGCTTTTTTGCTCTGAGGGGATCAAGCGCTGGCACAGGCTGCCCAGGGAGGTTGTGGCGTCTACATCCTTGGAGATATGCCAAACCCATCCAGACATAGTCCTGGGCAACCGGCTCTAGGTGGCTCAGCTTTAGCAAGAGGGTTTGACCAGACGGCCTTCGGAGGTCCCTTTCCACCTCAAGCATTCTGGTAGGGTATTTTCAGCATCTGTCATAGTAATATGACCTCTATTACCATTGTGTAAATGCTTTGCAAGTTTTAATCTGGTTGTCCTTTCAGCATCCTGTGAGTTAGACTAAAAGATTGGGCTAATTCCTTTTTCTAAAATGCATCAGCATCTTATAAGTGAGGAGTGAAGGTTGAAAGGGAATTTTCAAGTGGGCCTGTTTAAGAGATGGTATTTGGGTCTTTGATTTCCTTGGCTTCTTTCAAAATCCCAATTTTAGTTGCATAGACTGTGGAGCCTAAGGTTATAAATTACATGCAGCTGAGAAAGAGATGTGAATTTTGATTTCCAGGTCCCAAGTGAATACTCCGAGCTTCTTCTAGAACTTTTCTGTTGCAAAGTAATGCATAAACTTGTAAAATCTCTTAAGTATGATTTCAAAGTAGCTCACTTAAATAGTTACTATAGAAAAAAGATGGTAAGGGTAAGGACTCTGGAATGACATGTTACAGGAACGTATGCTGGCAGACTTATGCTAGCCAGCTTTATATGCCTGTATTCCTCTTCTTTAGGTCTTCTCTATTTTTTTTTGCAGCCATCTGTGCTGTTCGCTTCCCAGTGTAATGCATTTTCTTCCAGGTGGGATAATAAAGCACTGGATCTTTCTGGTACAGCTTAACTATCAACCCAAAAAGTAATACACTTAAATGCTAATATGTCATTATGGTAAGGTTTGATTAAATTCATGTGACAGGATTGATTTTATGGTTTTCCGCTATTTTGATTTTAGTTCAAGGATAGTAAGTCGGCTAGATCTACAGCTAGTGAAAAACTGGAAGTTGTATTTGCAAAGGAAAAAAAAAAGATTTTGCAGGTTTTCTGTTTTTCAGTAATAGAAATATTCTGCTTACTGATACTATTTTTGCCATAGGTTTTATCGATTTTTATCTAAACTTTTTTCAAAATTACAACAGAAATTTTTCATGTAAAGTATTTCGGCTAAAAGAAATATGAAACATAATTCAAAAGTTATACTGAAATTTATTTCCAAGAAATAAAACATTACATTGGGCAGATGAGTTGGGAAATAGTAAACTAGGTAAGCATAGTAGAGTTGCTTTGGCCTGGGCTGTAGACAGATAAAAGTGTACATTAAAAATAGGAAATTAGCTTAGAAGGCAACAGTGAAGCTTAAAAAAACAAACAAAAGTCATCAGCATAGCTGATATATTCTCTAATTCTGCCATGTAAATCCAGTGCCAGAATTTATAGCTTTCCATTTGAGATTTCCTTCGGTCTGAATGGGAGATTATCCAAATACAGATAATAGAACTCACCACAGAATAGCGGTTTTGAAGACAGACAGTTCTGTTACATACTCAGAGTTTTCCTGAAGTTTCCAAAACTTCCGGTGAGAGTAACTCCCGAATAGTTTTAATATCAAGTTCCTATTTTGATAGCAAAAGCAGAGAGCATGGACAGCTTTCTACTTGCCATTATTTTAGTAAAGCCAAATTTGTGACCCATATTAACTGCAAATATAAAACTATTTTCACATGAAATAACATGTACTTTTGAAGTTAACTAGAAATCTCTATGCCTTTTAGTACTCATGATCTTGTTTTTTCCATGTGGAGTGGCTGTGACTCATATTATAGTTGAAAGCACATTTTTAAGCATTCTATCGTGTAATATCGTTGTACCTCTACGTTTTTCTCCCCCCTCAGAGACTATGAAGAAGATATTTCAAGAAAAGGGCATCTTGGCAGGAGAAGAAAGAGCTTTTAAACCACATCTGACCTTCATGAAGTTGTCAAAATCAACAGAGCTACGTAAGGAGGTGAGCTCAGATTTCACATAGCTCAGCAGCAATTTAGAAAGTTTAATTTGGAGGCGAACAAAGGAGTTGCTTATGCTATAGCATCATACTTTCTACTTTGTAACCAGCTGAAGAGGTAAGACTTGAAAATACTGATCTTTTTAGAAAAAATAATTAGTACGTCTACCATAAAACAGTAGTCCTCTACTTTGTTACCATTCTTGATATTCTCAGTATAGTAATATCACAGTCTGTTTTCATTTGTGAAACTATGCAAAACCAAAGGATGAAAGTACTTGTTCAAAATTACAGAATTGTTAGTAGGGTGTAGATTATTGCAGTTTATTTGGATAGTTTTGGTTTATTACTGTATAGGAGAAAAGGAGCAAATAAACAGTGGAATTTATATTTGGATTATGCATAATATGCAGACTGTCAGTTCCCTCTATTGAATATGCTTTGGTGAATTTCAGAGTAGCGATGAAACACATCATCTGTGTTCTCTCCGGCAGGCAGTTATTTCTTGCCTGTTTATTAGCTTTTTGACAAAATGCACAAATACATACAAGTAGGTTATAACTGTGATGATAAATATATAGAAGTAATATTAGTATATCTAGTTTTTTTATTTCATACTAATTTAACAATAATATTGTATTATTTAACATAAGGTATATCTCCATAAATTGATTTTGCTGACATTGTATAGAATGTTTTACGTGATCCTTTAACATCCTGAAAATAATTTTCAGGAAAAAAAATGTTTTAAAGTAAGAATTAAAGTACATAATATAAAATTTTTAAGTGGGTTTTTCCTTAATAGTAAGCATTAAAGAAAAATACTTTAAAATATCATTAGAAATTACTCCAAAAATGCTGAAGGTGCACATTTTAATTAAGTACTATTGTGAAATCGGTTGGAAGAAGGCAGTGGAATTTGAGATACGAGAAACTTTAAGGGCGCACATACTTGCTCCGAAACAGAATTAAGGACTTGTCCACAGGTTGTAGATGGTATATTATAGCTATTAAATTTGTAAGCTTACATAAGCTTTTGCTTGTATTAACAGTTGTTTTTTAAAAACACTAATTTAAAAAAACCACACCTCTTCAAGAATATCAGCTGGTCAGTAATTTAACTCTTTGATCAAAACATCTGAGACAGTAAGGGTGGGTTTTTTGCCATTCTGTTTTTTGGTTGTTTTTATCTGGTTGGTTGTTTTGTTTACATTTATATACCTTGCATGAACCACTAGCCAGGACGCACGCATTCTGTGTTCTGATATTCATTGCTGCTGACAGAACCAGGTCAATGTCATTACAAATCATCTTCCTTAGTCCTCCATAATGCTGGATAATGCATATGGTATTCTAGAGATACACTGTATAGAAAGATATTACGTATTAAAAATGTGTAAATTTTTTTCTGTCAATCCACTGTCAGGCATAAGCATCGGTTCTTTACTATAATTTTTTTGTTTCATTATGTCCATGCATTTAGTGCGATAGTTTCATGCATTTACTGAAAACAATAAATAAAAACATGAAAGAAATAACTATTTTGTAGTATATTTTAATATAATGTCTAATTGCATTTTCAGATCATACAGCAGTATGAAAAACAAGAGAGGGGGAGTGGATGCAGATTATGTATAAAAGATCAAATAGAACTAAAGTAGTTGAGTATAGTTCATAGCTATAGCTTCATAACTATGTTAATATTTTTTTAATGTAAGTTTCCTTATTTGAAGCAATACTCTGCTAAGCCACTCTCCTCATAATGGCATCTGAATTCCACACAAGTTATCTTTTGGGAAAAAAAAAAAATAAATCTGTCTTTCAAACCTTAATATAGCTACAGGAATTTTTGAAATGCATATATTTTGAAAAGATTGTAACTTTCCCAAATTGTTGCTGATATTTACAAAGCAAAGAGTTTGAGAATGCAAAATTAATAAAGATCTGAGGAAATCAGCTTTCCACTTTGAAGGTACAGCATTAAGCTAAAAATGGTAAATGCAAAAACTTGGAAACAGACATTAATAAAGGATAAAAATGTGAGATAAAGTGCTATCTGGGTTACTGTATTATTCTGACCTCCTTCAGTTTCTCAGGTTGAAGAAATTTACCCACTCAGAAGTGGGAGCAACCTATTATTCATGCTTAGTTGGACAATTCTGAGATCAAATGTGCCACTGAACACTTCTCCAAAATCAGGAGGTACAGTGTGCTTCTTGGTGTTCTTGTGGAAGGAGATAAAGGTATATAATTTACTTGCATGTTTAGCTCTTTTCACAATTGATGGTTCAGACGATAAGAATCTTGGGTTAGTATCACTATCTTCTATACAAAGAACCTAATCAAAGGCAGTGAAGGAAGCAACTGGAGTTGTGCACTTGAAGATAACACTTCTGTTCCTGTTTCCCTCACTAGCCTGCTGTGTTGCCACAGGTCAGTCAAAACTCCTTTGTTTTTCATTCGTCCAGACTGCTGTTTATTTCAGGGTGTGTTGTGAGGCACACTTGATAAATGCTGTATGACCTTTGGAGATCCTTTGATACCTAGTGCTTCCAGAACTGCAAATACTGTGAAATTGATTTCATATGTAGATGATGCCTGACAGTGAAATTGCTTTAATGGTATCTGTATCCTTAGCCAGGCAATGGTTGACAAGAAAAAAATGCCAAAAATATAATTTATGAATATTTAATATATTATATTCTTCTGTACAGTATATATTTAGAATGCTGTATGTATAATTAGTAAAAGAGAATATATTAGCGAGCAAAATCCATTTGTATTTACAACACTTGCAAGTGTTGTACAAGGCCCGATTCACTGTTACCATTCAACTTGAATGGTAACATCGCCAAGATGCTAGATTATTATCTTGCAGACAGTATTATTATGATTGCACTGGAAATAGCTGCAACTGCATGATTCAGTAATTCATTCTTGTATTTTTAAATGTAAATTATGTTAAACTTTTGCCACTATCCTAGTTTCATATAGAGATTTTAAGGTACTTATTTTGTAATAATAATAATAATTCCTCCATCATAAAGGAGGTTATTCTACACTGAGTCAAACCCAAGGCAGTGTCTCCAAATTTAAATGTTTCTGACGTGCACTCACATTCATCTTTTTGTTATCTTCAACTAGACATACCAGTTAACATGTTTAATACTGATAATTATGAAGGCAATTACTTTTTTCTCATGTAATTTTTCCCTCAATTTATGTGATGTTAATATTTTTGGCTTCTTGAAATGAAATATAGTGGAAGAGAGATGTAGCATATCTGCTGATGTCTTTTATTAGCCATACTGTAAGCAGCTATAGCTTATTGTCTGACTCCCAAAATTTGCTATCTAATGTCTCTTCTGTCTTATTTAGATAAGGAATCTCAGGCACTTACCTCATTGTAGGAAAGGTTATTACTTCTATAGTACCTACGTATCACGTCTCCTGCTTCATTAATTTGTTAATGAATTTTTGTGGCATATGCATAAATCAAATACTCTGTTCAGTAAAGATCCTCTGCATGAAAGGAGAAGTGAAAGGGAATCCTTGCCTTCTGGTATTATTGCTTTAATATTAACTTTTACTCAATACTCAAAAATAGAATATAAAATGTGATTTTCTGTCTTATATCCCTAGTATAGTTTTCAGTTTCCTAGATTTGTAATTTTGCTTTTTATTTATATCCATATGGCATAGATACATAGTTGTTCGATATAGAACCTTATGAGAAGAGTGATTCTCAGTAATACCAAAGCACTTCCCCTGTTTATCAGTGCCTGCTGATTCTGACCTCCAGCATTTTTTGTATAATAACTCCTGGGATCTCTGGCATTTTGGACAGAAATGCGGGTATAAGAAGAGGTGGAGAGCTCATTAAATACCTCTGTATTTCCATTTATCAGCCTCTATGTCAGTGGCTTGTATTCTGACAACTGTTACTTGCTAGTATGGGAGTCTCAGGCACATACTTATTTGGAATCTTTGATGCTGATCCTAAAATAGCTGAAACAATCACTTTGGCACAATACAAAACAATAAACACTGCTTTCCCAGTCTTATGAGACCGGCAGAAATGTTTTGTGATTTTTCTACAGTATTTTTTTGCTAGGAAGATCTAACAACAGGGGCAGAAAATGCACAAACTGGGTGACCCAACAGCTGGAAGAGGTTCTTGAATTCTCTTCTTTCAGTCTTCCTGCTTTCATATGATACGCCATATTGCAGAGATACGTAACTACAGTACTTGTTTTAAACAAGAAGAAAGGACATACACAATAGACAGTTTGCTACAAGCTAAATGTAGTGTGTTAGTCACAGTGATCATTCTTTAAATTACCAAACTCTCCTATTGAATTTGGTAGATATGATGTAATCCATGCTTTTACACATAGCCCTGCTAGAGGACTGAGGCTGCAGAAGGCAGCACCTCTTTACGCATGAACTCTTCTAAGTCCACATGGGGATCATCTAGGTCTAGGTGAAGAAACTTTTCCACTACAGACTTGCATTTTTCCATCCGATCTCCTTTTGAAGGATGATCAATACGTTTGATAGGTTTTCCATTGCGAATCAGTTCTGAGACTTCCACTCCTCTTTCAATATTTTTGG